CGTGTTTTCACGTCAGCAGGGCAGAAGTGGGCACTCATACTGACTCTTTGCGTTACCGGTTTGCCGTCAAACCAGTACTGTCTACGCGGGCATGCTCGGTCGATGTCGCCGAGCAGTTCGTGTTCAGGAGGGCAAACGATGAACTTGTGATTGGGACCGGTCGTGTTGGTCGGTCGGTTGATCAGGTGTCGGTCTGATGCCCATTTTCTCGTCACGTTCGCCCTGTCGTATTTCATTAGCCTCGTGCTCAGTGACGGATAGAGGACGATCAGAGAACTCATGCTCGGCTCGTGGTGCACGCTCTACGAGGTGAAGCGAAACCATCGGCCGTGTTTGCGAGGCATTCGTCCGCCAGGACGGGGGGTCAGTCACACCGGCAGCGGTGGTAGTATCTTATTCAAGCGTGACCTCGTCAACAACCGACCGTCGGTCATCTGGCCGCACGCGACGTTTCTCTATAGCTCTCGTCGTCGCTCTTGTGCTCACAAGTAAGCGAAGTAACGAGGCGTTATTGAATTAGTGGTCCCCATTTGGAATCGCTTGACTTGGCTTGGAACGAGCAAGAAACATAGTTAAACGATTATTTTATGAATCTGAAAACAGTCGATGTGTCGAGCTTTGATTCTGGCATAGTGAAATTCATAATTTGGTCATAATTGCGTCAAAGGCACTTGACTTTTATCGTGAAACTGACTGCTAACGGAGGAATTTTCAACTAGTCGTCCTTTCATCTGTGGAACTGAGAGGCTGACAGAATTGATCTCTTATGCATATCTTGTTTGAATGAGGATTTTGAATGTAGCAGAAGACCTTAAATTTGAATGCTTAGAAGCCAGAATTCTGACTGCAAACCCAGAGAGAAGGATTGAGACTTTCTGCTAGTATTAATTCCCTAAAAGAGGGCAAATTCTATTCTTCCTGCCTTGTATTTTAAAGATGGGATAACGAGCATTGCGTTAAACTGAGAGAATGTCTAGATGAAGATAAATGGACGGTATCAAGATGTGAATATAAAATGTAACATTTATAGTAATGGTGACTTGTAACGTGTATTTTTTTCCTTTCGGTTTTTCGTGTTGTCCTGAGCAAACAATTTTTACGAGATGTGCCACTCAGTTAAAACTCTTGATATTATGCCTTCGTTACTGTTATAACTTTAACTCGTTCTCTCTGTGGTTACGGTCTTATGCAAGCTGAGGCTGACCCTTCGATAGATTGTGTGATAATAGTATTCTTACCTGCTTTTGGAGAATAATATGAGAAAGAGCATTCTTTATCATTTTCTCATAATCAGATTGTATTTCCCCTATGCACAACAGCCGTCCAGGGAAAACAATCGCTGTAAACCGCGGTTGTCATTCGTTACCTTTAGCTGACAGTGTCAGGAGAGTAACAGATCTCCACGGCTAATGTTTCGAAGACGCTTAGATTTAATTACGGCGAACAGTCCTCTTGAAAGCAACTGGATATTCAACTTAAAGAAGACAATACGAAAATGTGGAAATACGACATGCTTCTTAAAGTTTTGATGAAGCACTGAGCTGCAGGTCTTCTGTCTTGACTATCCAACAGGTATGAATGTTATACGTTGAAAGATAGGCAGCAGACCATGCGGGCCTTGCCTGAAATTATGTTCCCGAGGAACGGCGAGGAGAACGTCAGGTGGGAGACATTCTCGTGCTGGTGGAGAATGCGGATTCGCTCTAGTATTGCAAAGCGGTCGGTCTGTCGTTGGAGAAGTCTTGTCGCATAGAGTTTTGGATCGCTTTTGATTTGGACTTGTGTCGTATCGCCTGTTTGTATTCATTGTGAAAAATAGAGTCACAAGATCAGCACCGGTGCATCTCATTACAGAAATGCAGACCCATCCTCAAGCAGCAGTAACCCCCTCGGCGTTCCACTGATGCACTGTATATTTTGTAAATTCTTTCACATCTACTAATGTCATCGATTAATCGACATTTGGATCGTCTCTTGATGTAACACAGTAGTTGCTATCCTATCATTAGGCTAAACGGCAAGAGGTAGAGAATTCAGCTACTTTTTAGAATTGCCAGCGAAATGATTCAGTTTTTCTCTTTGGCTTTATAGTCAGAATGTCTTCTAAGCAGATTCTCTTGCGTCCTATTCCCAATTATCCAAGCCAGTTATGTCTCTAATGCATAGCCAATGAGGTCAGTTAACCCTTGAGTCCATTTTCTCTTTAATTCACTGTTTCAGAGTTTGTGAAGGTCTCAACTGATAAAAAAGTCCATGCTCCACTATGCTTTATAGCGTTTGGTTTGAATATCCTGTATAGTTCAAGGCATTTGTATTCTATCGAATTCGTGGTCGAGTGAGAGTTGAATATTAATTCCAACTATTCCCTCGACTGACGAACCTAGATCCTAAGGTTCGTGATAAGGTCGTTGTGATTTTAATGGTATTTCAAGATACAAGGCACACCAGTCGTATCCTCTGATTGCATTTAGAGGCACAAATCTTCGGAATTGGGCACAAAACAAAAATATCATGTTCCCTGCCGTTCTCTACTGTCGTCAACATCTAATGGCAGTAAAGCCTTAGCAGTAGGATCACTCAGAGTGGCTTTTTTCGGACCGTTTCAGGCAGTGTCTAGGCTTTTGTAAGCTAATGTCATATTCTTCAGCACAATCTGGTCTTATTCGAAACGTTGTTCTGCTGCGAATCTGCGGCCAGTGAACCGTTTTCATAAGAGAAGTGCATTGGATTAACATTAATCAGGCTACTGGCTTATTTTGAATTGTTTATCTGTCGTATTGGCAAAACTAGTAGTGAAATCGTTTGTTGGGAGGTTAGACGACATGCCTCACAAAAATCGTGTTCATTTTCTCCGGTTCAGTGGTGCCACTTAACCCCAACGGGTTATAGTCAGAATATCATTCTATTACATGGATATGTTTTGAATTTATTCAATCTCTTGTTAGGCGTCGTTTACCATCTCCAAGTACGTTAACGAACAATTCTAAGCTTTTCGTGAAACCTTTGTAGCGAATGTACCTCGACGCTTTCGGTAGACACAAAAAGAGCAACCCATTTATGACTCCGCTCCTCAGGCACCACTGTTTACTAATTGGCGATCCGTTCTTTATGTACAGGACAAAATCCGAGTTCCCAGCAACGTCAGCAGCATAGCGAATTCGTCTACGCGGGTTACATCACTTTCGTCGTTGTTCATTAGCCGACGACTTCTTCCGCTTCCTCCCTCGCCTTCAATCAGCGTCGCTAGCCAAAGTTCCGGCAAATGGAACGCGGCCAACGTTATTACTTTAAATTAGGCAGAAACGTTTATTTATGCCCCGCACTTAGATCTTATCATGCGACCAGATCTTGTGTAAAATAAATTCACCACGTTGAGTAATTGTTTTCGCTGGGGCAGTCTGGTTGCGAGCCGACCCACCGACCACGCGGGCAGGGCACGTTTCCACGAAACTTTAACTTCTTCTCCAGCCAGGACACCGCGACCGGTTTCGCAACTCCTGGTCCTCCTCTCTCCTCAGTGTCATCGGTCGTCGTCATAGAACTTCATCAGCCTTCCCTGATGTCGGGCCCTCCGTTTGTCCACACTGGTGAGTGCGTGTCGAGGTCCTACGCCAACAGTGCGTCCAAGATCGATACCGACTGATTTCCAGTCTCTGACGCTCGTTGCGGTCATCTTGACGACATTGAGCCAATTTGCGGCGAACAAACAATTTTCCAAATGCGTACTCGTCATCGTTCTCGCGCGGCACGATATCGATTTCCCTCTCTGGTGTGTCGTTTCTGCCCGTCATGATAGTTCAGGGCATGTCGCTACATGTTTTATTGAAACACGGATCGGCTCTGGCCGCGATAGGGCGGTGTGGTGAGTTCGTGTGAGGTTGGGTAATAAACCGAAGAAGTTGCCACCTTTGTTCACATCCTGCTCCCCACCCGTATTGGCACCTACTACCAAGAGTCTGTGTGCACCTGGCATCGACCTTGGCTGAGTGGCGCGTGTACACAAGCGATTAGGTCGGATTAGCCAGTGCGATGTGGCCGCTTCAGCTGAGGAATACAAATGATTTGCTCACCTCCTGCGCGATGCTTCGTAGTTTCTTTGGCTTGCCGTTGACTCATACGAGCCCGTAACGACCGGCCGCTGACTAGCTTTTTCGGATAATCGGTTTAACGGTAATTAATCACTGGCCATTGCTGTAATTGGTATTGTGTTTGTAAATTCGCTTACAACTGTTATGTTTGTGTGCGACTTCTGGTGTTGGTTCATGAAGCGTTTTCATCAACAGTTCGTACAGCTACAATACCTCTCGTAGTCTGCCATGTTGCCGTTAACCTAATGTATTGTTCGATGATGGTGAGCTCTGGATAATCATGAGAGAAGACAGGAAGGAGGATGAGGTTTTGCAGGTTTACACATTAATGAGACTCTTCTTCGCTAGACGCTTTGCAACAATGGTCTGAACCTCACATCACGTTCTCACTTGTTTCATTTCATATGTTTTATTAGACTTGGTTGAGAGCCCCTGCTGAAGCCCGGGCAGGGGTTCAGCTTCCGCTGTCTCGCTGAAACAGTTGTCCCTCATAAAATGGGCTGCTACTTCATCTGTTCATTTTAAGCTATTCTTCTTGATTGAAAGAATTCTCCTGCTTTATCTGGATTTGTCATAACAGAGAACGGGAAGAAATCCAGTGTCTTGCCACTTTATACGTGGATGAGACCCTTCTTTAATAGTTGTAAAATCTCAGATCCCGTGTTCATTAGTGTCGTGTATTTATCTTATTACACTTGGCTGAGGATAAAAGGGAAAGTATATAACCTTTAGAATATCGGTCGTCTTTATACTTTCATCGAGGGCCCCTTCTTCTCATGAAGTTAATGGTGCGGAACTGATCTCCGTTTCTGTGCTATTATCCAGGAGTGCTTTTTATAAGTGTGAATCTACAATCATGTGGTAAGCACCTACAGTCTTAAGTAAGTCTCCTGTTTTCTTTCAATAGATTCGTACTCACATGTCAGCCTTGGAAAGAAGGAATGCGACTGACCCTGACGGGGCTCGAACTCGGGACCTCACAGTTCTGTGTCCGATGCTCTACCTACTGAACAACCACGGTCTGAAGCAACGTGTGTTAAGTGCCTTGCTTAAGGGAATTCGTGTGAAAGCCAGGTTTCCCTGTAAAAGCCAGGAAACGAACCGGTCACCTCTGATTCACCTCGGCAGTGCCACCACCGACTTGGTTGAGATGCCTGGTGAAGTCAGAAAGAGGTTTATTTCTCGCTGTCTTGGCTGATACTCTTATTCCTAATAATTGAGGGCAGAACTTGTTCACTCTGCTATTAGAGGGCCATATGATAACGACAATGCGATGTGTGGTTTCGACTAGCTTTCTTCCTGCCTGTCATAGCCGAATCCGCCATAATAGAGAAGGCGTTATCCTGCAACTTCTTATTACCTGCACGCTAATGAGACCCTTATTTTCTCGATGGTTTGCAGAGGATGATCATTATATCTGATATTTTATCCGTTTATTGCCTGCTTTCTTTTGTTTTGTTATCGTCACCCGGAGGTTTCGGGTTCGAGTCTTGGTTGACTCATTCGATCCTCCTCCCTCCACGATAATGAATGAGTACCACTTCTCGGAAAGGGAACTCAAGACTACACATTATGCCTGCCAAAGAAGTGCTATCGACTCTGTCTTTAAAATGAGGTACTCCTAGCTGATTGCATGGAAATGGAGATCAGCATTCCACTATTAACTTCACTATCATGCGACAGCTATGACTTCGTCATGGAAGTGAAGACCGACGTTCCAGCGGTCACCAACCTTCCTTTAGTTTTTCCCATCTACGCGACAAGGATCATGTTTGCTGTCATGAATAGGTCCATTTCAGTGAAGTGATCCCAGATTTTGGATTGTATCGCAGCAAACTTAGGAACCGTGGACGGTTCTCACGCGAGGAGTGTTTCGAAAATATTTTTGTTCTCTACTTGGGCTGTTTCATCAAACACAACTAGGCGATGGTCGGTGCGTTTTCATACACTTGAGTGATAGTCATGACTCCTACTCCGCGATACAACGTAGTGGCTTGTGTAGCGCTCATTGTCTGATTCTAGCTCGCGCTGATTATCTGTCGAGCGGAAGTTCGCAGTTTCATATGCTCATGTTAAATTTCAATGTATAGAAAGGAAGTTTTAATTGAAAAAATTTCCCTGCTGCTCGAATTACGGATTTCAATTTAATAATCGAATGAACGACACCATACATCATAGTTCGACGAGAAATATGACAGCTGTCATCACCTGTCACTCCGTCTGAATTTATACTCCTAGCTCCTCTTTCTTAAACTAATTTACACTGAAGTATGAGAGATTTTTCCATCCGCAAATGTCTCTGCTTCGTTTGCCCACTGTCTCTACGCGTATGACGGCTTATATTGATAAACTAATGATCACTGCTATTTGATCAAGACATCATTTGTTTTTGATCAGTATGCCCTTTTGCTTCCCGATGATTTAAAGTGGTAAATTAGTTGCAAGACATCTCGGTTTTCTTTTTTCCGTCGTGGAACAGCAGAAAATGTAAACAACCTGTAAACTTTCAGCGCTTGTAGAGATTCACTAGAAGTTTTAGGTTCAAGTGATTACACCGTAAGTTTCCTTTATACCTATGAGATATCCTATTCCTTATGCTATTATTCCATAGGCCCATGGCTTGTGAAAATAGCATCCTAGGTTGCTAAATGCAAAGGGCGAAACGATTTGTGTCAGAAGCCTGGAAAAAGTGAGTGCTTGCTTGTGTCTGCGAATACCAGTGGATTTCTCCAAGGTTAGCGCTCTTAATATTTTAGACACATGTTTGAGATGAGTCGAATGCTTTCCTCAAATTATATAGTATCGTTGAGGCTGGTAACTCTTGCGATCCTTCATCTTCCTTCGTTATTCTCCTTTTCACATTCAGTCTCAATGAATTCTCAAAAACGTCAACAGCTTTTTTCCTGTTTCGTCTGTAAGCTAAT